TGTTATCCTTCACAACACCACCAGTGAGAGAAGTATTACAACTATGTTATCCTTCACAATTTCACCAGTGAGGGAAGTGGCTACAACCATGTTATCCTTCAATAACACCACTGGAAGTGAGAGAAGTATTACAACTGTGTTATCCTTCACAACACCACTGAAAGTGAGAGAAGTATTACAACTGTGTTATCCTTCACACCTGACTCAGTGAGAGAAGTACATAACCGTGTTATCCTTCACAACACCACCAGTGAGAGAAGTATTACAACTGTGTTATCCTTCACAACACCACACCAGTGAGGGAAGTATTACAACTGTGTTATCCTTCATAACAATTACCAGTGAGAGAAGTGACATAACCAGGTTATCTCACACCACCAGTGAGAGAAGTATTACAACTGTGTTATCTCTTCACAACACCACCAGTGAGAGAAGATAACTGTGTTATCCTTCACAACACCACCAGTGAGAAGTATTACAACTGCGTTATCCTTCACAACACCACCAGTGAAGGAAGTTATTACAACTGTGTTATCCTTCGCCAACACCCTACCAGTGAGGGAAGTATTACAACTGTGTTATCCTTCACAACACCACCAGTGAGAGAAGTATTACAACTGTGTTATCCTTCACAACACCACCAGTGAGGGAAGTATTACAACTGTGTTATCCTTTCACAACACTACCAGTGAGGAAGTATTACAAACTGTGTTATCCTTCACAACACCACCAGTGAGGGAAGTATTACAACTGTGTTATTCTTCAACACCACCAGTGAGGAAGTGACAACTGTGTTATCCTTCACAACACCACCAGTGAGAGAAGTATTACAACTGTGTTATCCTTCACAACACCACCAGTGAAGGAAGTATTACAACTGTGTTATCCTTCACAACACCACCAGTGAGGGAAGTATTACAACTGTGTTATCCTTCACAACACCACCAGTGAGAGAAGTATTACAACTGTGTTATCGTTCACAACACCACCAGTGAGGGAAGTATTACAACTGTGTTATCCTTCACAACACCACCAGTGAGGGAAGTATTACAACTGTGTTATCCTTCACAACACCACCAGTGAGGGAAGTATTACAACTGTGTTATCCTTCACAACACCACCAGTGAAGGAAGTATTACAACTGTGTTATCCTTCACAACACCACCAGTGAGGGAAGTATTACAACTGTGTTATCCTTCACAACACCACCAGTGAGGGAAATATTACAACTGTGTTATCCTTCACAACACCACCAGTGAGGGAAGTATTACAACTGTGTTATCCTTC